TGCCTAAGATTGCCTCTTAAAATAGATGACTTCGAGCAAAATCCTGTTGTGTAACTTTGCCATCATAACCGAGATCGAGCAGTGGAAGGATTTAATTTAAAGTCATTAATAGCTTTTTATACCTCTCCTTTTAGGTCCTAGGGCTCCCTAGGGCTCCATTTTGCCCTGAGAAAGCCTTTGAGAGCTTAGAGATGTGAGGACAGGGGAGACTTTAACAGTAAAAAAATTGCCTCTGGATTGTTGACACCAGGATTGGATTTGCCAGTAGCAATCCAGCAGCTCTTTTTTTAACTATTAAAAGCTCTCCCTCTCCTCCCAAAAAGGCTTTTTCAGGACTAAAGGGAGCCCTGGAAAATTTGAAGCCTTTAATTTTCTGAAAGGTTTTTAATTGCTTCAAATGCAGTGCTCAAACGGTGTACACTGTGCAAAGTTACACCAATAGGGTTTTGCCCTTTATGTTGCTGATGTACTTTTTATCTGTAGTGCGCTGCTCTCTCTTTGATTCTAAACTACACGTAACAGCTGCTTATGTTCCTACATTAGGACAATCAGAACGATTATATTTCTTATTGAGAAACACTTACAAATCAATGCAAGGTTTATCAAACTTTCGTTTTACGCTCTTGTTAATGCCTAGGCTCTAAAGAACTATAGACCAAGTCATGCTGTAAGGAAGAAAGGGTGGTCAGACACGCTTTTAGAAAAATATCAGCCCCCTCTTTTTCCCCTTAGAAAACTGCTTTATAAAAGTTTCTCAGTTGTGGTTTTTTTCCTGTAAATTAGTTATGTGGCATTTGGATCAAATCTTTGTGTGTGTGTGGGGGGGGGAGAATCATAGTTCACATTTAGTGACAGCCGTCTTTGCACAAGCCTTAGCAGCTCTTCCTCACCTCAAAATGAAAATGCTTAAACTGCTGGCTGTATAGAAAGTGTCTGGTTTTAAGTTATTCAGTGTCTCAATAGTAATTCCTGACCAGTACGTATCATGTGTTTTGCTGCCCTACTTTTGTATGGAATCCGTATGTAATATGCATTATCTGTTCTGTTACGGCTCGTTTAGATTTTTTTCAGCACCAGTGGCCGACATTAAACCATACAGAATATAGACCTTATGTGGGGTCTTCTTGGACTGCTTGTAGTTCCGTTCCAGTCCTAAAGTCTAGTACATGCAGTTCGCTTCCTAGGACGTGCAGTTTCCCCGCACCGCTAGCACAACAGAGGATATTGTTCCAGGCATAAGACATGGCGCAGCGGAGAGCACAAGCACAGCCCACAAAGTATAGGGTAGCATTTTAAAGACGGAAAAGAAAAGGAACTGAGGTATGTCTGGAGAGTGAGGGAGCCTTAGTTTGAAGCCAATACAAGATAAGGACTTGAATTAAAATTGAAAGTGGCAGAAAAAACTCAAGGAGAGGAGCACGCAGTTTGCTGAGTGGTTCCCCCGCTCCCTTTTCTGCTAGATCTCCTATGCTTTCAAGAAGAGTATGGCAAGCGAAATTTAAGCAGGCGTTGCCTGTGCTAATACTGCATTTGTGTGTTATGAGGGGGGGGGGAAACAGACATTGAGTATCTGCTTAAGGAGAAGAATCCATGTCAGGATGAAGAAAGGAGGAGGAGGAGGAGGAAGTGTACATCACAGTGACACATGCGTTAGGGCGGTGTAGAAGTGGCTGGGATCTGATGCTTAATAGTATCAATTTCTATGATTTTGGCATCTCTTTGCAGTAGAGGGTGGTGTCTTATAATAAGACATAGAAAAAATAATAATCTCAGTATAAAATAGCTGTCATAGACATTTTTTCCTGGACAGGATGTGTTGAAATAAGTTGTTTATATTCATTAAATCCTTCCAACCATGTTAGTTGACACTGAAAGTAATTTTACCAGCTGAGTTAACATAGCTTTTATCCCATTAAGATTTGGGCCATTTCTGCTGCATCATGAAGGTAGGAATATTAGCCAGCTGTCCTGCCCTCCTACTGTACCCTTTCACAGCGATCTGAGTTGGGCAAATGGATATTTTCATGTTTACAATCACAACTATCATTTCCTCTTTATGGGGACTGAACATGTAGTAATATTCAGCATTTCTACTGTTCATCAGTTGAGACTTGCAACTCTGCGTAATACTTTCCCTTTCTGTCTTTTCTATTTATTTTTAGAGTTTCTTAACACATAAATAAAACTATTCAAAAACAACGAAGTGTATTAGCCTGCTGTGAATTGAAAATAGGGCAGAGCCTTCCTTTGTACATCTAACACTTATTTTTAAAAGTGATTTCTTTTCAGCTAGAGTTAAGTATTGAAAGAATTTATTTTATCCTAAAGGTTTTCCCAGTGTCTGGTAGACAGCGGCTTCATTTTAAAAATCTAACTAATTTTCAGGCTACAGTGTTTATAAAGCTCAGGAATCCCCAAAAGATATTGAAGGGGCCCGAGAGGTACAAGAAGATAAAGATATACAAGTGGAAATTCCTGTTGACCAGGTAAGATTCAAAGCAGGTCTTGAGCTTTGGTTCCTGGGCGAAATTAACCGAGTAGAACACCTCTGTGTCGTGTGCAATAGGTAGCACAGTGACAGGGCAGGGTCGACCTCCAGAGCTGAGGGCAAGGTGTCCCCTACCTGGTTCACGAGCCGTGCAGCCACCTGCTTGTTCTTGGAAGCAGGCAGTAGGCAGCTCCTCCCACCAGACAGAGCCATTTGGGTTTTGTTTGCTGTTGATTTCAATGGAATCTTAAACATGCATCTAAATCAGGGGGACAAGGTCTGTTCCAATTTGAGTAGACCGTCTCTCTAAGTTGTGTGAATGTGACTGAGTATCTGTTTGCATGTGAATCAATATCCTTTCTTTCTCTCCCTCCCCCTAATCCCTAAAAAAAAAAAAGAAAAAGTAAATTTTGATGGCAGATGTGGTGCCACTAGCGCCTCTCAGGTCAAGTAATAAAACCCTGCTTTTGGAAGACCATTGTGCTAAGCTATTAGGTTACAAGTATTTCTGTTTTACATTCATTACAACCTTGCATGTAGGAACAGGCATATGGATCTTGTAGCCTTTTGCTTTCAGACGTAAACCAAGGGGGGGAAAAATCACTTGTTTCAGCTTGCGGTGAGAATTCTCTTTGTGAGACTTCTCATCCTGCCCAAAATATCTTGGAAAATATTTCTCAAATTTTGTGGTTGCTTTTGTTCTGGAAAAAATGTCAAGCTGCATAGGATTGTTACAGTTCCTGTGCAGAATGGCATCTTTCCTGTGCAGGCGTCATTTGAAAGAGCAGAAAAAATGCCAAGAATATCTTAGCTACAGTATACCATGGCTGGTGGTAACGCAGAAAAAATGCCAAGAATATCTTAGCTATACCATGGCTGGTGGTAATATGACCGGAGGATTCAGCAAACTGTAGTCCAACCTACTTTTCAAGTCATCACAAACACAATACTCCTGGATATAGAACAGCAACATCTCTAAAAACAGATACGGTGAGTTGCTCCTTAGCAGCTGGGCCTTTTAATGCACAGTCTATCTTTTGCATGAGAAAATGTTTGGTCACATGAGTTCCCACCTATACACCAAAGTGGTCTGAATTTACAACCTCGTTTGGTTCTCACTTAACAAGTGCAAAGGATCTCCTGTGAGCCAGGTTGCCACTAACCATGGGTAAGGCAGTTTTGTTGTGCGAGACAGGCTGTGTGAAGATGCCAGTGAAATCAAACAAGCTTTCTGCTAGGCATAACTAGAGTTTGATTTGGGGGATGGGGGAAGAGGAGAAATGTAAAGCAACTCAAGTTTTCTGATAAAATCAATAACATGTTAAATCGATAAACAGTTTTAAAGTTCTCTTTAAGACTTTTGTTGCAAATCTTAAATGAAATTTATCTCCCCAAGGCTCCAGCTGAGATTGTCCCTGAAGAAGACATTTATTCAAATGTTGGGAGTATAAAAGAGGAGGTTAGTTTTGGTTTTAACAATTTTGTGAAATACAGTAATATTTGATATTTAAAATGGTCTTAATCCTAAATCTGTAATGCTGGTTGTTACAACAAAAAATACAAATGAATCCTGAAAACCAGAGATACTTAGACTGCAGATGTATGAGGTTCTTGAGCTGATTACCGTAATTGCTCATAAAGAGACAGTTCAGATTCAAAGAGTTTGAGATCAACTTTTCATAAAGATTTGTGTTTATGTTGGTTCTCATGAACTTGGTCTATGTGAAAACCATGGCAACTGTTGTACATCTGATTTTAGAGAGTGATCAGATGGGCATTTTGCCTTGCTGTTTGGTCCACTCCTTTTTTTGGTGATCATCATATGACGTAATATGTCCACTGCAGGGATGAGTTGGTTCATTCCTTTTTTCGGTGATCATCATCTGACGTAATAGTTGGAGTGAACCAAATTGTCCCCTTAGTGTGTTCCTACCTGTATTTACCCGCAGTGTGGATTTGGCTTGGGGGGGCGGCTCTTGACTGGACTTTTAAGACAAGAGAAAGAAAGAAAAAGGAAAAAGCCCCCTCATTTCTGTCTTTTGTCTCCTCTTGTATCCAGGAGGACATTTTCTATTTTTTTTACAAGTGATGCAGCACATCAGCAATGACCTAATGTAATCTAAATTTGTTTTTCCCACTCCTCTACACCTCCATAGAGGCACAAAAAGAAGTGTTTGATTTGCCAATATCCTGAAATGGCTCTCTTCTTAAGCCACTTCAGGATATGGCAAATCGACGGCAGAAGGAGCTAGAGCAAATAGGGCCACTTGAGGTATGTGTGCCTTTTGGATGTGAGGATAGTATCAAATAGCATATTGGGCCTTTACCCAACATCTAGTGCTCTGCTTGTCACGTATAGAAAAGCCATTAGTTGTTTTAGAGACTGAAAAGATACAAGGTTGGTTTTTCTTGTTTGTATTTTTTTCATGTAGCCTGAAAAGGATAAGAATAACAATGGAGAAAAAGAAAGAGAAAGAGCACGAGAAGGAAAAGAGGAGGAAGAGGAAGAAGAGGAGGGGGAGGAAGAAGAGCAAATCAAGCAAAAAAGGGTTTGTGTGAAACGTAGATATTTCAGTATTTAAAAACTACGAAAAAGCAACAGTTGAAGTAATGAGTAGAAGGAATGAGTAGGAAGAATTCATGTCTCTCTGTTTCTTTGTAACAGTGATTAAATTTATTTAGATTATTAATTTGGAAAAATAAGAACATCTTTTTGTTGGTCTTGCGCTGTACAGAAGTAATGGAAACCTGTATATAAATGATCTCTCATCTTTGTGTAAAGGTTTGAGTTACCTGGGTTGAGATCACTGCGGTGGGGAGGAGAGTGAGTGAGGGAAACGACTACAGTAGTAATGAAGCCGCTTGCATTCTGACCTGGTCCACTGCAGCATTCCACTTTTTTACTGTGCAGGAAGCATCTGCTATGGAGGAGCTGTTGGCTGAAGCAGAGGGGAAGGAGGTATTAAAGGGTTCTCCTCCAGTCTCCAGCTCTTCTTCCCATGTCAGTCTTTACTTTTACTTTACTTTTACTTTTATTGAATTTATACCCCGCCCTTCTAGACAAAGTCTACTCGGGGTGGCTTACATGAGTGATAAAACAGGATAAAATAACATACATAAAAAAACCTAATAGCCACTGTTTATATACATATCAACATTATCAAGATGGGAATAGTTAAGAAACAGCAACAGAAATTAAGTTAATTGACTGGAGGGAAGGCCTGCCTAAAGAGCCAAGTTTTTAAATGGCTTTTAAAAACACCCAGCAAGGGAGCTAGACGGATTTTCCTTGGGACCGTATTCCACAGCCGAGGGGCCACCGCCGAGAAAGCCCGGTTTCTTGTTTTCTCCTTCTGAGCCTCTCTCAGTGTAAGACCCCCTCAGCCGTCCCTGCTGGCTTTGTCGAGTGATTCGGGTAGACCTGGGTGGGAGAAGGTGATCTGCCAGGTATCGAGGTCCCAAACCGTTTAGGGCTTTATACGTCATCATCAATACTTTGAAATCAATGCGGAAAAGAACGGGCAACCAATGCAAAGCAGCCAGGGTGGGGGAGATATGCTGATATTTTCTCACCCCTCTAAGAAGCCTGGCTGCCGCATTTTGCACCATTTGAGGTTTCCGCATGCGCCTCAAAGCCTCAAAGGCAACCCCACGTAGCGTGCGTTACAATGGTCTAATCTCGAGATTATGAGCGCGTGGACAAGAGTAGCGAGGGCCCCCCCATCAAGATATGGTCGTAGCTGGGCAATCCACCATAGATGAAAATAGGCGGAACGGGCCACTTGGGTTTCCATGGCAAGTGCCGGGTCCAGATGTATCCCCAAGCTGCGGACCTCACTCTTTGCGGCAAAGGAAAGGGAGTCACCCAGACTGCTGACGGGAGGATCGCCCACCCTCAAGACATCTGTCTTGTCCAGGCTCAGCCTCAACCCATTCGACTTTAGGGCTCCATTATCCTCAAGAGCAGATTTTCAGATGCTTGGGAGAAGGGGGAATTGGTGAAAATCATTGTTGGCAGGGACATCCTAGGAATGGAATTTCTTTCAGGAAGACCAAGGACCTAGGTTCTTCTCCCCCCTTGCCACCACTTCAAGAAGTAAAATGAAATGGTAGTTAGTTACTGGCAAGAAAGAAAATCAGCTGAAACTGAATAACTGAAAACAGGTTTTATTCAGTCCAGTCAACTTAATTTGTTTTATATGTGTCATTGATTTCAGTTCTCGGTATGCTTAGCTTTCTGACTGAAATCAATGATACAAATGGGATGGACCAAGTGTTTTTAATATTCCCAAATTATTTTCTAATTGGTTCTTTAAATTCTAATTAAATGTTATACTGTATTAGTCTACTGTGTGTGAGATTTTTATACCTGAAAGAACTTCACAAGTCCCCTTCCCCTAGATTTTTTTTTAAAAAAAGACATATTCTAGAGTGGAACATCAATCATAAGAAGAGTTAGCCTTACTTTCCTTTCAGACGACTTACATGTGCAACAATTGATTGAGGAGTGGATTAATATATCTACCTATCACTTATACAGCTATCTTTGTCCTTCACCCACAAATACAAATGGGCTGTGTATAAAGACACGGAATACAGTAAGAAATTATAATAGGCCATACATATGTAAAAATAAAAATATATAAGGGGTGTAACGAATAACTGGTTAGAACCACATCCCATTTTAAAGCCAACTTGCAATGACATTAAAAATATTTCTAGATGCTTCCCAGGTGAAACCCGCATTAGCAGAGCAATGACCCTTCGGAAGGCATTTCTGATTCGGGATGCTGTCTCGGAGAAGTCTCCCTCCCTTTTGCCTTCAGCAGCCCACTGTTTTTACATGGGTCATGTGAGCATGTTCCTTCTTCGATCGAAAATGTTTTGAAAAACTGTTTCGAAATCATATTTTTAAATGTAGAGACAAGGATCAAAGATTGAGAGCCCACATTTTGCAATGACTCCTTTGCAGGAAGGTGCAATACAGTGAAACACGCCAGGCAGTCCCTAGGCCACCACAGCCATTACTAGGTCTTGTGAGCTAAGACAGAGATGGGGAGCAGCCTGGGACATTGTAAGAAAGGAGGAGATGTGGGGCCATGTGATTTGTGCTATCCCATAACTTTTCCCCCACTCGTATAAATTTATTTACATTCATGTCTTTTCAGGAAAATGGACAATCCGTTAATCCAAGTATGCTAGTTTAAAACTTTCTGGTTTTGCATAAACCTTGGAATATTCATTTCTAAATTGAATCAATCAACATCAGATATACTGGGATGCACAATACAGTGTAATCATACACTTGGATACCTAGTGTGGTGTAGTGGATAGAGTGATGGACTAGGGCTTGGAAACTCTGGGTTTGAATCTCTGCTCAGCCATGTAAACTCACTGAGGAGAGGTGGAACTGGTAAAACCACTCCTTAAATATCTCATGTACCTTGAATGCCCTATTAGGGTCACTATAAGTCAGTTCTGATGACAGCACAGAACAACAATAAAAACAACTTAAAAATTGCATCTCATCACAGATGTTTACTAAACATGATGACACATAAGTTCAATATGATGTTGGATACAGACTTTGTGCCTTTCAGGAGCATCTCTTGAGGTTAGTTCTGCTCGGGGGGACTCTCCGGCTAACAGAACTGTGGAAGGCGCCTTTGCTAATTCCCCTGTCTGCCTGCAGACCCGTCTGCCTTGAGAAAATATGCTTGGAGAGTCAGAAGAACCTACAGAACAGTGAGGGAGATGGCTTCGAGGGGGGCTATAGTGATAGGGAATTGGCTGTGTGGCCTTCCCTCTTCTGCCAACAGGAAGGCTGATGCATCAGCGTGCCTTTTTGTCATCTTTCCTTTATGATTATTAGAATATGAGTTTATTAACTTCAGTTCTGGTAATAAATTATTGTCAGTATTATTGATAGAATTACAAATCAGGGTTTGGGAACCATGATGACCCCATTGTTACTCTGGCTGTAGGCAACTGCTTTGCTTTCAGTTGAATATAACCTTTCATCCAAAATGTAACATGGCTGTGGTATTTCTGCAAGTCCTGGAACCCCATGGGCAGCGTCAGCTTCATAGGTAGTTACTCCTGTTAGTGCCTAATGGTGTCTACCAGAGGTAAACACAGATAGAAGGAGGTGCGATAGCAGCCTACGAGGGCTGTTACCTAGGAAGGATTATCCTGTAGTAAATACAAGGCCCTGGACTAAATGCGACAGAAGTCAGAGAAGTTCATTACACTCTTGCTTAAAAAAGAGTTGAAAGGCCATGGTGGAAAGCAAAACTTTCAGTTCATTAAAGAATATTTCTAAAGCATGTTAGAGACTTGCTGTGGCAACAGTTACAACACATCAACTCCTACTATTGAATGAAATGAGCTATGAGATTAAAATGCTTGCAAAAAATCTATAGGAGTAATTTATTGCCATTGTTTACTTCAGCAGTCTATCACTAGTAGAGAAATTGTCTTTAATGAATATTGCCTAAACTGACAGCACAGTGGATATTATTTGATGAGGTATTATTTTTCCAGCTGAAATTTTGTAACTACAAAAAACAGCTAATATACAGTATATATATATATTTTTGAATTGGCTTCTTTTTGTATTGCATGCAAAATGTCTTTAGGCAAATATATCTGCTTATTACCTTGATCCTATCCAGAATCGCAGTGTGGATTTCATGCTAATAGATCTACCATCGACATGGTATTTTCCCTCAGACAGTTGCAGGAGAAATGTAGGGAACAACGACAGGCACTCTTTGTGGCCTTCATAGATCTTACAAAGGCCTTTGATTTGGTTAGCAGGGACGGCCTTTTTAAAATACTTCCCAAGATTGGATGTCCACCTCGACTCCTTAATATCATGAGGAAATGAAGGCCATTGTAGTTTTTGATGGCTCAACGTCAGATCCCTTTGACATTCAAGATGGAGTGAAACAGGGCTGTGTGTGTTTGGGATCTTTTTTGCTATCATGCTGAAGCACATTTTTAGAACTGCAACAAAAGGTGTCTATCTCCGGACTAGATCAAATGGAAAGCTCTTTAATCTCTCTAGAGATTTTTTCATTTAAAATAATTTGTATTAAGTTTTTCTGTCCATTTTAAATTACAGATTGATTTTGTTGTCTTTGCTGTTGTCGTTTCTGTTTTTGTTGTTGTTAAAAGCGGTTTGTGCGATGGTAAATGGGAGGTATTTCTCATAAATGAGGGTTTCTCAGAAATGAAAAAGGGGACGCGGTGCTGAAATGTTTGGGAACCTGTTCTGTGGTGCCTACCTTACGTTTTAGTTCTGTTGGCTCATAAAGAGTCAAAATGTAATCTATTGAAGAAAGGTTATAGCCCGCTTAGCCCCCTGGGTTTTGGGATGCATCATACAATCATAAATAATTATACCTTTAAAATGAGTAGTTGTTTTCAATCAATCACAGCCATATCGCTCTTCCATGCCTCCTTTCACTTTGCATCAGTCCATCTGGCTTTGAAGAACAGGGACAAATTATTACATAATAAACATGCATTACCAATTTGTCATCTTAAAACAGAGAATGCCACAATAAATTCAGCACTATTATAAATCTTATAACTTCTAAGCTGCAGGTGCATTTTATTCAACAGATTATGAAATCAGATTTATTACAGCAGTTATTATGCTGACATATATGATATACACTGAAATGTCATAAGGATTTAAATTGTACTAGCCTATAGTGCAGTATGTCACATTTTATCCCATTTAATAAGTTAGGCTTAAAAACAGTATCTTGTAAATGATGGCTAACTCACCCATTTCTTCAGAAATATTTTGAGCTGATTCTTGGACCTATGGTACTTGCATTCTCACGCGATGCAGTTTCCCATTTGCCCCCTCCCCAAATAAGCAACATGCTCTTGCACAGCCCTTCTCATCACACCTTTGATGCACATAATGCTGTGGTGGACAGCAGGGTGGACATGTGGGACTGTCCAGATGTTGGCGGCTTACAACTTCAAGCAGCCCTAGCTAACATTAGCCAGTGGCGAGGGGCTATGGGAGTGACAGTCTAAACATATCTAGAGGGACCCAGTTGTCCATACCCTGGTATATAGAGAGGATACCATCATTAGGGTCATTCCCGGGGATTGCTGCTCTTCCTCTTCGTATCCCCCATCGTATGTGAATGCTTCCCTTGCTTAGGGGGCATTTGGGGGAAAATTTGCAATACAAAGCTTATTGTTGGCTTGTTCTCCTCCCCCAAATACCCTTATACCGAATTGTACTACACTAAGTCTAGTTTTGCTGTTGTATTGTTCTGTAGCCTGTGCAGCATGATGGCAGCTCTGTTGCAAAAAGTACTTGTAATCAAGCAGTTCAGCCTTTGGGCCAAATCATTCTTCTAAATACATAAACAAGATCACCATAATCTCCAGTATAAAGCAAATGAGCATCATCTAGAATTTCAGATTATTTGTGTGGAATTAGCTTTTCTTTTCGCTTGATAATGTTTCCAGAAACAAGCAGAGCAGAAACGTTTGGATCTCGGAAAGGCTGAAGAAGGGTCACCAGCTTTTGTCAGTTCACCATTTTTTTCCTACAGTGAGATCCAATCCAAATTACCTTTTGTGGATTTATAATGATTATCTCTACATGATCTCAATTACTTTGAAAGACTAATGAATGGCGATTTCTGTTACAGGAGAAAAACGGCGTTTTTAAAAAAATGTTTGGATTCCTTTTCAATAAATCAAAGAAGAAAGGTATGTCATCTCTTCTATCTCAGCAACATAGACGTCTTTTCAAGATAAATGTAATAACAGCACAGATACCGTGTAACTAATCAGTTCTATCACTAAGTGTTTGGTCTAACAATTATTATACCATCATTAACCAAACACATTAATCAGTAATGGTAAGATGCATCTATGATACAAGCTGGAGTATTTTTGCATATTTGTATAGCTCTCTATTTCATCACTAGATGAGTGGAATTCTGTCATTTAGTTTGCTTGTGAAAGATAAAGTTTCCCCTTGACATTTAATCCAGTCGTGTCCGACTCTAGGGGGCGGTGCTCATCCCTGTCTCCAAGCTGTAGAGCCAGCATTTGTCTGTAGACAGTTTCCGTGGTCACGTGGCCAGCGCGACTAGACACGGAACACCGTTACCTTCCCACCGAGGTGGTCCCTATTTATCCACTCGCATTTTTACATGCTTTTGAACTGCTAGGTTGGCAGGAGCTGCAACAAGTGACGGGGGCTCACTCCATCGCATGGATTTGATCTTACAACAGCTGGTCTTCTGACCAATTACGTGCAGTGAACTGATTTTCAAATTCAGCTAATTATTTTTTCATTGGATTATTCAATGTATTTCTAGCAAAGCACATTTGTTAACTTTAATGTTACTGTCTCTGTATGCAGTACAAATGAAGAATTGAATATGATTGTGGTTATTAGGATTCAAGAAATAAGAGTTTAGAGGTGTAATTATATATGTATACAACAGGTGACGGTAATAACTGAAGCATCCAGCAGGACTTGATTAAATGAATGATTTCTGCTCAACATTTTAAATAGAAATCTTGTCATATAACTACATTTATGTTGAAATCTCCTTAATTTTACTAAGAGGCTTTGGGTAGAACAAATCTGGAATTTAACTATGTGAGGGCAGGATTACGATACACCAATGCACTGCTGGTGGAATGGCCATCATATCCCATGTGTGTGCAGACCCGGAGGACAGGAGGAAAACATGCCAACAGGAAACACAAAATTTGTGTGGAAATGGTAGATGTAGTTTGTTTGTGAAAGATAAAGTTTCGCCTAGACATTTAGTCCAGTCGTGTCTGACTCTAGGGGTAAATGTGGTAGACCTAAACTGTCATCGCTAAGCGAAGCAAGGTCCTGAACATCGTTATGTGAATTTCCCCCATTGGAAACATCGCTAAACGGAGCGCAAGATCGCTCCTAAAACCTCATTGCTAAGCGAATATATTGTTAAACAAGGCAATCGCTAAGCGAGGCACCACTGTACTGCTGGCGCTGTCCATTAGAGACTGTTTTGGGGATGGCTACCACATGCTTCCTCCACAGAGGAGGATAAAAAAGGTCAGGACAGGACCCCAACATGCCTTCTCTGCCACCACACGTGCAAGTCAGTGTTACAGCATCCCTGTGCCACCAGCCTTCAACTGGGAAGAGATCCCATTCAACACAGCAGTCTAGCTCCTTGGGCAGATTGCATGCACAGCTCTCTCCAAATGAGGGAGGGGAAAAACTTGTTTGCCAAGCAGCCAGGAGAAGGGATAGAAAGCGAGAGCGACAAATACATACAGAAATTTCCTGTCATGTTGTTTATTGCATAGGGCAGTATATTTACCCTCAGAGGGTAACAAAGGTAGGAAGAGCCTAGCTTAGATACTCTTTCTTGATTAACTAAAAGGTCAGCTGAAAAGTCTTCTTTCTTTGGTTCTCTTCTGTTTTACACAGGCCATTTTATGCAAAAATGAATATTTATTTATTTAAACTATTTGTATCTTGATCATCCTCTGTTGCAAATGCAGGAGGTGTGCCTGCAGAGCCGCTGTACACCAGGGGTCTATTGTACACAATATTCCATTTTAAAGAGGCATGGATAAAAGGTGAATGCCTTTATAAGGAAGTGTGATGATGTAGAAGGAGAGTGGGACTTGTAGTCATTGAGGATGAGAGAAAATGGAGTCAGTTAGGTTTCAAAGTGAAATGAGTTGAGGACATTGGAATGTGGTGAAGGCTGAGAGGCTGTTTTTCCTAATTTACAGCTAGGATGGTACAGAGTGAATCCTGATAAGCGTGCAAGGTTGAGGAGGCCCAGTGTGAAGACCCAACAAATTCCAGTCTAATTGGGAAGGAGATAACACACCTGCATCTCCATGAAAACTAGAGGTGCAGTGAACAGTTACGCCTCTTTGAGTTAATTGGTTTACAACAGCCATGAAGAAGGAGGTCCGAGGGGTGTGGAAAAGATGGAGGAGAAGGGATGTTGAATGCTACGCACTCTCTTAGCTTATGCCAAGCTGAGAGGGAAATCCCTGATGGATTGAGTTATGTAAGTGGATGTTTGCAGAATGTAGAATGGTAAGAAGAAGGAGGGGTGGGATTAGCCCACCACAGCTTAGATCTTAGAGTTTTTAATTTTTTTTAATAAGAAATAACTGCTTTATTTAATTGCTGTAACCTTTGAACATTTTATTATGCTACCGTTTAAGCAAAGAACTGTTTCTATGAATTTTAATTTTCTTAATAAAAAATAATTATAAAAACCTCATTGAGGACTAGTCTCTTGGACCAGCAGGGTTTGGCTAAATCCAGAAGAGTGGAAAGGCTACTAACTGGCTACTATAAAGAAGTCCTATTTAACTGAGCTGTTTTGGAAGCACAAAGCCCATGTTCAAGTACTTGCAAGCTACTGAGTAAAGTGTTTTTCAAAGGTCAGGCTCGTCTACCGCACAGATGCTATGCACTGCAAAAGTTGAGGACTTACCTCAGTGTAAGGTGATAGATTTGGGGCCTGAAAGACTCCCTGACCAAGCGCCATACCCTCTTTAGGAAGGTAAGGTTGCTCACAGTATACATTGGGGGAAAAGAGCTACAGTTTCTACAGTCCAAGAATACAGCGAGTGACTGATGGATTTGAGCAGGAAATGAATCGTCATAAAGTGAGACCATGTACCTGACACCTAAGACAGCATGTGTGAACATCAGAGAAGACCAAGCTGGATGTGTGGATTTTCATGACAAGTCACCAAATTGTGACTACTTATCCTGTGCTCCATAATTTCAGTCCATCACATACCTTCCACACCTCATCAGCCACAAATACATCAGATGACACCCAAAGTGCAGATGACACTCTTCTATCGCCAGAGCTTGAAAGTTGTTAGAAAATAGCTAGCTGTTTGTAATAGTTTTTTTATTACTAAGATGTAACTACAGCACATCATAATTGCAACAATGAGACATAACCTCTGTCATTTTGCATTGTAGCTGTAATTTACTTTTATAGTTATGGGGTGCAGCCTTACTAATGGATGGGGACAGACTTCTACATGGAAGACTTCTACTTTAAAACAAGTAACTTAATTGCAACTATCTTAATTTTGAGAATAGAAAGTTGCTGGAAGACATTGTAACTATTGTGGCAAGTAACTATTTGGAGGAGCTGAGTTTGTAAGTGTACACTTTTTAATAGTTTACTAGGCTCTACATAGGGGACGTGGTGGCACTGCAGATTAAACCGCAGAAGCCTCTGTGCTGCAAGGTCAGAAGACTAGCAGTCGTAAGATCAAATCCACGCAATGGAGTGAGCTCTCATCACTTGTCCCAGCTACTGCCAACTTAGCCGTTCGAAAGCATGTAAAAATGTGAGTAGATAAATAGGGACCACCTCAGTGGGAAGGTCACGGTATTCCATGTCTAGTCGCGCTGGCCACGTGACCACAGAAACTGTCTTCGGACAAACACTGGCTCCATGGCTTTGAAATGGGGGTGAGTCGGACACGACCGGACTATATATACCTTAAGCTCTACATGGCACAGTGGACACTGACAACCACTAGTACATTGCTCAACAAGTGTTTTCTTCAGACTGTAGAACTTTTGTGTCAACTAGTAATGGTTTGTCTATAATTATAAGGACATCCATCCATGATTCACCTTATTTGTTTAGTTTACTGGATCATCGTATCTTCAGAGGAATAGTATCCTACCTCCTTTCTGGACCCAAGTGACTTAGAACCTGAAGATGCTGGTGAATGGCATGTACTAGGAAGCCCATAATACAGAGAGGAGCATTAGTTATTACTGTGACAACAATAACTGCAGCACAATGTTGAAAACAGTCTTGAAAACAGCTTTATTAACAAAAGAATCTGAATACAACTGCAAAATTATCACTGAGCAGTACTCCCATGTCCAGGTCACAACATAGATTTATGTTGCTGATACTCTACTGGCATCATCGAGTCCATGTTGAACTTTGTCTACTGCAGAACATACAACAAAACTGAAAGAGTCATCAGAAATCTTGTAGTTCCAGTGCCACTACTTAATGCAAACTGCTTCATAGAGAGAAATGTGTATAGAGTCCTTTGTAATGTTCCATGGCAAAGGTATATCTGGAACAATGCAGGGTGGATCAGCTGGCACACATTTCACCATCTCACTTTGGACATGGATGCTTATGCTTGTATGTGCCGTTTTTGTGAAAACTGCCATGTGTTCTTTTAGTATTCCAAAACAGGAGGTGGGCTTTAGGGGTTCACCACTCTGACCGTGGTTTTGCCCAACTCTTGAGAGACTGGGTGGTTTTTCACAGTTACATGTGCCTCTGGTGCAATGAAAACACACCTTCATTGACATGTTGGTAGAAGTTTTGTGGCCACACTTGGAACTGCTGAGGTTGAAGAGCATACGTACTGCAGTGGTTGCTCCAGGATAAAGATGAGTCATTGAGCATTGTCTCCCTAGATGTGAAAGAGACTACGTACCTCCATCTTAGGTCTGAGGCCTAGATGAATTTTAAGTTACACAGAGAATACAGTAGCTAGCCTGACCGAGGCCTGTTCTTGTAAAGCATGCCTGTCTTAATTGTGGTATTATTAAGCTAATGTTTTACTGGCTGGTACCTTACTTAAGGAAAGGGTTATAACTGTCTTTCCTCTCAGAATGCACCTCTCTGCCAAAATCTGATTTATTCATGTGTTCATTGGGAGGTAGA